TATATATATATATATAGATAGATAGATAGATAGATAGATAGATATAGATATAGATATAGATATATTTTATTCGGAATTGTGTCAAACATTATCATGAAAAAATCATGTGAAATCCATAGGGGCTAATGCTATAACATTTCAGACAAAGGTCGAACTGTCCCCCATATTGAGTTAGCAGGAACCGGTTACTATGGGTAACGACTCTAGGTTTTAATGAGTGATATCCTGTGGCGGACTTTTTTTTTATACTGACTTACTTGTGCTTGGAATGAGAGCCACACTGTAAAGCAGTGATGGGTGTAGTAGGTCATTAGGCCTTTGTCTCCCAGGATTTATTGCAGAGCCTTGGCAGTAATCTTTGCAGAACTCTTATGTTCCAGTAAGCAAATGTAAATATTTGCAGGGATATGTAGTGGTGCTTCTATATCACTGTATGCCTAGCCTTTGGTCTAGCTCTGAGGGGAGGTTTCCCCAGACAGTTTAATGTCATGGCCCTATAGTGTGTCTACAGTGGAAGTTGATATATGTGAACTTTGTTGCCAGCCCAGAGGGTTTATCCAAGGGAGGTTTGTGCATAAAGCCAGCTGTGTTTGGGGAAGGATGGATTTAGCCTGGTCCTTTAAAGCAGTTTTGATATACTGCTGTACATTGGGCAACGTATACTGGAGGCGATCCAATGAAGCATTTGCAACAGTTCTCTGGCGTTTTGGTCGTGTTACAAAGCCCTGCGTCAAATTCATAACCAGTTTTCCTGCTTTTTTTTTTTTCCGACACATGCAACAAATTCAGGAAGTTCTCTTTTTTGCAACACTTTTACATTCTGGCACTGCGGCTGAGACAGCTTCATAGAAAGAAATACCAACATATGGTGAAAAGAAAAGTGGAGGCAAATAAGACCTCTTCCATGTTGGAGGCAATTGTGTCACCCGTGTAAGTATTGGGTCACAGACAAAATTATTTCTGGGACCAAAGCAATTCTGCAAAAGATTCCTATTCACCGTACCATCATTTACATGAATCTGTCGCAAGTTGTGCCATTTGTTGCACGGACGGTAGACAGATTTCTAATAAGTATCAAATGAACTCCAGGGAGTTTGTTATAAAGTCTTCTGAATTGTAAATAAATGTTTTAGATCATTATTCTTTATACTGTGATGGCAGGGGAGATGCATTTGAGTAGTGAATGATACCTGATATTTCCTTGTCTGTGTCCTAGAATCAAAGGCATAATAGGAAGCATTGGAGTGCTGGATAAAAACATGACCCTTATGCAGGGTTTATAGTGTTCATTTTGTGTTGTTGTTTCATAGTTTTGGATTTCAGTGCTGATGGCAGTCAGTTGATGATCTCTGACTTTAACCATTTGGATGTTATTTAAAGATGTTCCCGCTCTGGTAGAACAGACCACAAAGATATTAAAAGAAAATATTAAACTGTTATGATATTTTGTTGTTTTTGTCATGAATAAAAATCATGAAAGATTTTTTATTTTTTTGTCATAGTTGTAACTTTTATTCTCTTTACAGTGCACCTAAATAACATAAACCTTACCTGTTTAACCCCCCTATTTTATCTTATAACTTAATCTGCTCAAGAGACCCATGTAAGACTTACCTGTCAGTAGCTATAGGCTCTCCCCAGCTTCCTGTGGCCGTGCACAGTTGTCACATGGCCTCTGTCAAAGGGTGATGTTCACACATAGCTGGCAAATCAATAGCTTTGCCTAAGCACAAATCCCGCCCTGTGGCAGAGTCCATTTGACGCCTTGCTGCTGCTGTGTCCTGGCATTGGCAGCCAGAGAGAGCCTGGAGCTGAAGGTAAGTCTAAAGCAGCCCATGAAATGGGGACATTCTCATGTCTATGGTGGCAGTCAGATGCCCACAGTTTGACAGCTCCAAGGGAAACGTAAGTCGGGTAGGCAGCGTCTTTCCACCTCTGCTTTCATAGACTTGCTTTCATAGACTTGCTAGGTCAACATTTTTTAATTTCTAGAGCAGAGCTCAGAACATTTGGTGTCCTTAGGTCAGTCATATTGGGCCTTGTAAAGTTTATGGGCATGCTAACACCTGTGTATTGAGTATTACTATTAGTGGAGGGAGGGGAGGGCTTATTTATATAGAACCCACAATTTACATAACACTTTACATACTGTACATTCACATCAGTCCCTGCCCTTAAGGAGCTTGCAGTGCCTCTATCTATCTATATATACATACATACATACATACTATGGGGCCAATTTAGACCAACTACCTGCATGTTTTTGGAGGGCAGGAGGAAACCCATGCAAGAACAGAGAGAACACACAAACTCTATACAGATAGTACCCTGGTCAGGATTCAAGCTGAAGACCCCAGTGCTTCAATGAAGAAGTGCTACCCACTAAGCTACTGTGGCTTGTAAAGTCTATGGGCAGACTAACATGGGTGTCTTGAGCATTAGTGGAGGAAAGGTGGATACTTTAAGCTGTATTGTTGATGAAGTTTATTTCACCATTTACCTAACTTTGTGCACAAAAATCCCACTGAAGGATGGTATTCACCTCTTATAAGCCACCCAGAAGCTAAAATGCAGATGAATGGTACCATTGGCACTTTTACATAAATGTAACCTGTATTGGTCCTTTTAATAACTTGCGTTACTAGTGTGTGTCGGGAAACCTCAAATAAAACATACCCTTTACACTTTACTGACAACTATCTAGATATTTTCCTTTTCTGGCTTTGTCTCGCATACCAGTATATTTTTGTGATCGATATCACCCCTTATTGACATAGTTCCCTGCACTAGTTCTGCGGGATGTGCATGTTATTCACACTTATCTTTACAAACAACTCCAGCGCTGTGTACGTTAAATGTGACTTTGACCTTGCTTACAGAAATATTTTTAGATAGTTGATGCATATCAAAGTTAAAGTTATCATCTAGAGTCACAGAGAGTGCATGTAGGTCAAATTCAGCTCGTAGATATGATGCGTCTTTAGCTTGCTTACTTTAGGAGGACATTGGTTGGATTCACCATACCAAGTCACTTGCTAAACTATAAATTATTCTTATAATATAGGTATGTGTGTATAATACGTATAATTATGTGTGTGTGTGTGTATATATTGTGTGTGTGTGTGTTTTTTTTTTTTTTTAAATTGTGCATTAAAATTAGGAAATTGCTTGTTTATCGAAAGATGATTATCATGTCGCAGGTGTTTTGGAAGGTTTCAGTTATTATGCGTTATACTCTGTTATATATGCTGGCACTCTTGTTCCAGTTTTAGGCCTATCCAGCTGCAAATGGGTTAAACCATCCTTAAATAGCTGCTCCTGAAAGGATTCCAAGTGAATTGTCCCATCATTGTGAACCCGGTGATAAATTCCTGGCTTTACTTTTACAACAGGAAACCTGGTA